TATATTTTTTCTTCTACCCTGAAGATGGAGGCGATACGTTCCTCCGAAACGTCGGTTAACACCACATATACACGGTGCCAAATCCCAGAAGACTGCTTTCTTCATAGTCACCGCCGTGAAAGCCTCAAATCTTACAAACAAGTGGTTGTTTGTGATTACAACAAAAACAAGTGGATCTGAAGGATCAAATGCTACAGCCATACTTGCTTGAACGAAAGAAGAGTACTAAGTGGTATCAGAAGTTATTCAAGAGGCTACTCAATACATAACGCAATGGTCATATATCGGTGTCTCCCTAATAACAAAACATGGACACATTAAAGTTCAGACTTTCACTAGCACAAGGCCTTGTGGATAAACATGGTTCTGGTGTTCCTCATCCTATATATGGCCGTCCGTCAGTTGAGCCGCCGCCTAAAAGACTTACAGAATGACATTTCCTGCAGCGTATTCCAGCCACAGGAAAAAAGGCAAAGCCTCAAGAAAGATGTGTGGTGTGTGCAAAACATGGTAAAAGGAAAGAATCTATTTATTGGTGTAGTGAATGTGAGGCAGGGTTGTGTTTAGATGGATGTTTCAAGAAATACCATATGAAACTCAACTTCTAATCCACTTGCATGGAAGCTCAGATACAGGGCGCTCATATTATAAGGTAAGATTATAGAACCATCTTTTAAGATGATTTTAGTAAAAAAATTCATAATTATATCTCATATAGTTCAAAAGTTATGATACATAATATAATTTAGAGCAAAATTTAAATGGACAATTCAAAAATATTACCACAGGAGGCCCCACAACAGCAATATTTAAATGCCCAAGCTGAAGGGTTAAGCACACAGGCTAACAACACTCACCTCTTGAGCTGTGCATCTAGATGCTAGTTCCCACAGTACCAACCCACAGGCATACATATCAATGCGGAGGAAGGCATCTCTCGAAAAGTTTATGGCTCCCTCTAAGACTTCAGGTGCCATGTACCTCCGTGTTCCCACCTAAGAACATTAAACAACTTCATAATAACTCAAACCAAAATCTAATACAATTCACTGCAATGTACCCAGACTGACTCAATGGCCCATCTTGCCTCCTCTACAGTTACAGGGCAGTTCTTTCTCTGGAAGTTATAGTGGCCGACACATGACACTGACTACAGTCATTTTAAAATCCCTTTGACCAGCTGTGTCAGTGCAAGTGGAACTCGTATATTTTGGTGACTATCTCTGCCTTCTTCATCAGCAAATCTGCAGAATAACTGTAAAACAGTTTCCTTATTTACTCTTGTATCATGCACACGATGTACAACTTGAGTTTTGGTCACAGAATTCAGGGAGCAGAACAAAGCAGCAAAGATATAAATAAAAATAAATATTCCTTCGAGTATCAGCTTCACTGATAACAAAAATAGAGTAAACTCCCGGTTACGTGACATCCAGGCATCTGGAAATTTCACAATACTAGCAAATATTTCAAAGAAAATTTACAATTTTTACAAAATTGTTCAAAAACAAGTTTGCAACGCAGCCATATGATAGTTCTCCCAGCCACCACCAGCACCACTACCCATCAACTGGCTATTATAGTAGAGGTAAATTGTCCCAGCAATTAACTAATTAAGCATTTTGCCATGAAGGTGTATGGAAGAGTGGATGTATAGATCCATATTTTCTTGACCTCAGCACTAGCTGGAGGCGAGTGGTCAGCATCACCCTCCTGCACCCCTGATACCCATTGGATAGGAGGCTGGGTGGGCCCCAGAGCTGGTCTGGATGATGAGAAAATTCTTGACCCCAGTGGAACTTGGAACTCCAACCCCTGTCATCCAGCCCATAGCCAGTTGCTATACTGACTACGCTATCCCAGCACTATTACAGAAGAGGCTAGTTGAATTTGTGAGGGTGTTACAGTTTGTGTAACTAAAGTCACTCATCCATCAATCCACTGACAACTAGGAAGACTCCCATATTTTAACTTTGTTTTGTGTTTCTGTACGAGTTTGAATTGGTAATTGAATTTACTGCACACTTATATCGCCTGTTACTGCACTTCACAAACCACTATTGGACACATTAGGTCTTATCAGTCTGTCAAGAGTCTTCACTAGCTGTTGCTTGGTTGCAACTTCCAACGGCAAACGTTCCCCTTCCTCTGGGTTCTCAAACTGTCCCCAGCCTCAGCTCACAACAACGAAATTGCAGCACTCCTCTCACTAACTCACCAACTGACTGATTCCTCGCTTATTCTGATCATAACTTCTCAGCACGGACAGCACACAAAACACCATTCCTCTGTTGCAGTGCAATGGTTCCTATTGAAACAGGCTTCTTTGCGGAGCCATTACTTGGCAATGGCTGTTGTATAGTTGCTTACTTCATGGCTGCTGCCAGGTCTACATGCCACAATATGAGTGGCACACCCCTTTCCCTTTACATGCAAGCTAACAGAGTGTGTACTGCATCAAGAATACAAAAATACAATACAAATCCTATATACTATACTAAATCTCTTGCCCCTGGTGAGAATCAAACCCCAACCATGCAGTCCACTGCTATACCACCTGAGTTATCCCAGCAAACAGAACCCTTTGTCAAAATCAGTGACATATGTAATTAATTCCAAAAGTTCGGTTGAACAGAAATATTATCATGAAAAGCTTCCAGCCTTATAATCCAACAAGTTGAGTAAATATTTATATTTCTATGTGAAAGCCATCCTTAGTGGTAAATCTGATTCTAATACAGTGGATCCCCCTATGATGTTCCTTGATTTCAGGTTAATCGTCATTTAACATTCAATTTCATTGTTCTCAAAGTCAATAATCTCAATGTTAAATGACCTCCATTTAAGATTTTCTTCAGTTTTAGTGTTCAAATCCACCTCTCCCTAATAAAACCTTAAACGAGAGTTTGAGCACAACCTGCTTTTAACGAGCCATCTTACATACAGGAATTTCATGTCGATTTGTTACTCATATATGCATGTGTGTTTCTGGAAAGATTTCATGAACAATTTTATTAATTCTTGCGGTCCAATGATACTCAATGTAATGAGTTTTAGTGCAGGCTGACGAGCAAACAATTGCAAAAATTGAAGAGTTCTGTTTTCAGGGGTATAATGTAGTGCAGTCCAGTGAAAGTCAACTGATGTTCAGAGGAATATGTCAGAACATTTTCAGTGTCAAAGAGTATGCCAAGGGACCAGCACTGGTCTCTTGCTTGGCTTACTCTCTGACCCTAAGACTGGAGATAATGTTTTTCTGAAATGCTGACAGACTTTCACCAGACTACACAGCATTAAATTCCAGAAGACACAACTTTTTTAAATCACTGCTGTGAAAACCTCAAATCTTACAATTGGAATAATTTATTTTTTAATATTTTCCATCCAAATATCAAACATTTTAAAGCAAAAAAAATCAAGTAACAGCTTAACATAATATGAGTAAGAATGAAAGAGCAGTGCACAAATCTAAACTGCTGTCTATTAAATATGCATACTAAGATTAATGTCTTTTCTTGACCTCTGTAACATTTGTTATCATTGCGGAAGGGTCTGAAACATAAATTACCTGATACTTCATCTTCAATGCATATTCTGAATGGGCTTTGAGGAGAATGTATCAGTGATTATTGATTTAACTATAGAAAACCTGGGGAATGCAATCCACTTATCTAGGTGTTACTTCTCACATTTAGTTCATAATACTCTATGCAGATTAAATGATAGTAGGTGATGTACAGTATTTGTTGAAAAACTCCACTTTCTCACCTGGCCATGTGTGTCACCACAAGGTTTTCCAGGTTGAAAGATAAGAGCCAGCCCGAAGTCAGCAATGCAGGCTGTCAAATCAGACTTGAGTAGGACATTCTTTGACTTGAAGTCTCGGTGTGCTATAGCAGGCTTATAGCCATCTGCCTTGTTGGCTGGAATCTCCTCATGCAGATGCATCAATCCTCTGAACATAAATTCACACATTCAAGGGTCTACAAATGCTGGTTCAATTAAAAATACCAAGCAATTCAAAGTATTGATCCCTATCATTGCAAAAATTAATGCAGTTGATTCAAAGGGATGCTCAAAATTACTAGAACAAAGAAAACAAGCCAAACTGCAATGGTTACAGGATCAAAGCAAAATAAATGGGGATAATCTGGACAATATAAGACATGAAACCAGAAGGCATTTCAGGAATAAAAAGAGGGAATATCTGAAAGACAAAATTGATGAGCTTGCAATGAACAGTAAGAACAAGAACATTAGAGACCTGTACAGAGGAATCAATGATTTAAGAGCGGTTACAAACCTAGCAGTAACTTGGTGAAGGACAAGAATGGTGATCTGCTTGCAGATTCCCACAACATATTGAATAGGTGGAAGAACTACTTCTGTCAGTTATTGAATGTACATAGGGTCAGTGATGTTAGGCAGACAGAATTCCATAAAGCTGGGCCATCAGTATCTGATCCTAGCCATTTTGAGGATGAAAGTACTATTGCAAAATTGAAATGGTATAAAGTGCCAGGTAGTGATCAAATTCCAGCAGAACTTATTCAAGCAGGAAGCCAAATANCACCTGACAGAAAATACACTGTGTCTCCATTAAGAACACCATCAAGTTACTGGTGCATGGGGAAATACCTGCTGTTTATTCTGAGAACCACATGAAACCTATAAATGCACTCTGTGGGCAAAGTCCATAGGGCTTTTAATATTATGGCTGGCTGCACATATCACAGCTTGCAATGAACAGTAAGAACAAGAACATAAGGGACCTGTATAGAGGAATAAATAACTTTAGGAGGGGTTACCAGCCTAGCAGTAACTTAGTGAAGGATGAGAATGGTGATCTGCTTGCAGATTCCCACAACGTCTTGAATAGGTGGAGGAACAACTTCTCACGGTTATTGAATGTACATAGGGTCAGTGATGTTAGGCAGATAGAAAGACATACAGCTGAGCCATTAGCAACTGATCCTAGCCCTTTTGAGGTTGAAAGTGCTATTGCAAAATTGAAACGGTATAAATCGTCAGATAGTGATCCAATTCCGGCAGAACTTACTCAAGCAGGAGGTGAAATATTACATTCTAAGATCCACAATCTAATTACGTCTATTTGGCATAACGAAAAACTGCCTGATCAGTGGAAGGAGTCTATTATTGTACCAGTTCACAAGAAGGGTACTGACTGTAGTAACTATCGGGGGATATTACTGCTATCAACTTCATACGAAATGTTATCCAATATTCTTCTCTCAAGGTTAAGTCCATATATAGATGAAATTATTGGGGATCATCAGTGTGGGTTTCGATGTAACAGATCAACTACAGATCAGATATTTTGCATTCGTCAGATATTTGAGAAAAATGAGAGTACAATGAGACAGTACATCAACTATTCATAGACTTCAAGAAAGCCTATGATTCGGTTAGGAGGGAAGTATTGTACAATATGCTAATAGAGTTTGGGATCCCCACGAAACTAGTTAGGTTGATTAAAATGTGTTTAAACAAAACGTACAGTAAAGTCTGTATAGGTAACCATTTGTCTGATAAATTTCTTATCCAGAATGGTGTAAACCAAGGAGATGCTTTATCGCCAATCCTTTTCAACTTTGCTTTAGAATATGCCATTAGGAAGGTCCAGGGGAACCTAGTGGGACTTAAATTAAATGGAGCACATCAGCTGTTGGCCTATGCCAATGATGTGAATCTACTGGGTGATTATGTAGATACCATAAAGAAAAACACACAAACTTTAATCGATGCAAGTAAAGAGGTTGGTCTAGAAGTAAACACTGAGAAAACTAAGTATATGTTGCTGTCTTGTCACCAAAATGCAGGGCGAAATCATGATATAAAGATAGGAAACAGATGTTTTGAAAATGTGGCACAGTTCAGATATTTGTGAACAACGATAAGAGATCAAAACCTGATTCACAGGAAATTAAGAGGAGATTGAACTCGGGTAATGCTTGCCACCATTCGGTCCAGAAGCTTTTGTCTTCTCGTCTGCCGCCCAAAAACATAAAAATTAGAATATACAAAACTATAATTTTGCCTGTGGTTCTGTATGGGTGTGAAACTTGGTCTCTGACGTTAAGGGAGGAACACAGACTTCCCATTCAATTCTCTATGGGTGTAACATTCTTAGAGAGAATTCTGTTAATTTGAAGCTTACATACAAGGAATTTTAACAGACTTCTCAGGAACAGCTCGCTCCTACAGAAATGGAACATTTTATACAGCAAAACATTTAGCACAGAACACTACCCTATTTCAGTTGTGAGGGGTATGGAATTTTGTACCCTATCAACCTCATTTTAATTCTTTAAAGTGAAGTGATTACTATAAATACCATTTATTTGAACATCAATTATATCTTTCATATAATTTTCATAACAAGCAATGATTACATCCCTCAACAGCTTTAACTAACTGGTATCTGTAATGGAGACATTGTGTTCTCTGTGAAGTAATTACTGAATTCTTAATTATTATTTAAATAAATTTTAGGCTTCAAAGTTCTTTAACTGGAAGACATGCGTTCAGTTTTGAGAGTCTCATAAAAGGCTTCCAATCTTCTGGGGCGTGACACTGTGTAGTTTGGTAATGTGTATCTACATTTTGGAGGAATGTGCTGCCTCCATGTTCAAGGTAGAACTCTGAAGATGGAGGCCACAGCTTCCTCTGAAATAATGATGCCAATCGCTTATGAAAGCATCATTCTGAGACAAAATACCTGGCCATTGTTTCAGCAATGCGACACAATTCAGTCCAAGTTACAATATTAGCTTTGAGGTAGTCACAAAGTGAACCCTTCTCATGGAAAGCAGTGATTAGCCAGAACTCTGCCTGCAAATTGTCTCCACGTTTCTCCACTCCAATATATCTGAGGATGTCCTCATGGTCCATGTGCGGCAGCTTGAAAATCTCTTGCTCAGATAACCATGACTGTTTATCCTGCAATATGAAATCGAAATGTCATTAGAAATTGTTATCAAATCTTTTAACATAATCTCATAATAATGCAATGTGAATGATGTTGCAAATGATGCTCTACTGTATATGACATACTTAACATAAAGATGGAGAAAGATATATACTGCATATATATATACACTGCATTTCATATGGTCTGTAACAGTTCAAAATTCAGTATGCTGAATGAACGATCCTGTACAGGCTCTGCCCTGCTACCTGATCGCCCATCTCCACAGACCCTCCCCTTTCCTCTCTATTTGATTTCCCATGTAGCACTCTCCTTCCCTCACTCACTGCTCTTATATAACCAGGTGTTTTTGACTGGTGGCTCAGTCTGCAGCCACCTGCTCACGCTAGTTCCTCGGTCACGGATTTTTCTACCTTGAAGATGGTGACGTTACGTTCCCCCGAAACATTGGTGCCACATCCCAGAAGATGGCATTCTTCAAATGCTGGTCATCTTATAATTTTACTTGAAATTAATAAACACCTCATGTCTACAGCACTGCTTCTTAAAGACTTTTAAAATCAAAACTCTCTTTGGCCTCAAAAATTACCAACAGAACCACAAACACAAAATAACTGAATTCCAGTACAGTGACCCCTTCCCCAATGTTTCTCAATTTGATGCTTTCAATTTCTATTATCCCAAGTCAATAACCTTAATCAATGTAACACTTTCCTCATTAAGTAAACAAATTCACTGCTCCCCAAAGAAACCTCAAAGTGCTTTCACTAAGTATATTGTGACATGATGACTGAAGAAGAGAGCCACTGCTTGGTAACGGCTACATAAACACGTATCCACACGAACAGATATGAGTGCAACAATAGAAGAGATTGTTGGGAATGATGTTTTGTAGGTAGTCTGTGCCAAGGCTATATAACTAGAGCCTCTGGGCCAGTGGTAGCCAGGACAGACAGGTCTGATGGTTCTCAGAGGAGTCAGACATTAAAATATTGTCATGAACCACACATAACCTGGAACCAAGAATCATTGTGCTTGTGAGGGTGAGCAGCAATTCAGCAGTCAGTTATTCAGTGATAGCCAGTCAGTAGACAATGATGGCTAGGAGGCCATGAGTTAACTGCAAGCCAGCCATCATCCAGTGAGGACATGAGAACCGAAGCAGAAGAATCTCCATGGTTAGCAACCATAACTTAGTAAGGCCTAGTGAAGACAGTAATCAAGCAGAGACTTGAGAAGACATAACAGACTGAGACTTAATATGGACCACAGTCATTTGTGTGTAGATCAGCAACAGTGTTGTAACTATTTGTAGTTAAAAGTTATAAGCATTCAACAAATCCAGTTATCAACCCCAAACCCCATGTCAGGTCACTAATGTGTGACAATATTATAAGGAAAAATGGAAGTGACAAAGAAAGCAAAAATGTAAGACTTCTCTAAAGGAAACCTGTATTTGATAGAAACATTTTTGCTTTTCTTATAATACATTCTCTGAATGCTGGGAATGATGCCAAAGAGCTAGAGTGGAATGAAACCTTCAATATCCAGTGTTCCAGCATTTTGTTCTCATGACAATTCACACATGAAAGTAATGGCAAAAGAAATTTCCTTGCACAGTGTCTGTTTTATCATTGTGTATACTTGAAACAGACAGTCCCAAAACTCAATCTATGGACTTTCAGTAAATTACTGTATCAGTACAGAATCTAATGTTGAATGCTTGTGCTCTAGATGCACTAACAATGAAGTAATGATTTCACGCCTTAAAAATGTCATTATTCTAATGAGGAACATGACTCAGAACAATTACTTACATTATATCCATATATGGGGCACACAGCAGAGTAGTTGGTTGAAGCATTATGCTACAAGCTAGAAGGTCATGAGTTTGAGTCCCAAAGAAGTGGATTTTCTGAATTTCCCTAATCCTTCCACCTGCACAATCGCCTCAGGGTCAACTCAGCCTCTAACAGAAATGAGTACCAGGAATCCTCCTGGGGGGTAAAGGGCAGCCAACACTAAGGCTAACAACCTTACCACCATCTGTGAGCTGACTGTCTGAAGAAAACATGGGAGCCTCTACATCTCACAACTCTATGGGCCTTCATGGCCTGTTACAGGAACAGTTTTACCTTACCTTCATATATAAAATAACCAAACATCCATCCATCCATTCATCCCAGTGTTTCTCCCAAAGAGTGCATAATAAGGGGGGGGGGAAATGGCAACTATAAAAAACGTTTATCTTGGAAAGATTTTAGGCAGGACTGTTAATTCTGCTGTTATAGGCATGGATTCAAGCCAAACCTAATTTCTTTTTCCCGTCTTTCCTCAATAAGAAAAGCATAGGACAATAATGATAATGAGTATATAACCATAGCAAATAAATATGTTCTAAAGGTCACAAAAATGACATATAAGTCAGTCTAGACACATTAAATGCTAGTAACCACCACAAAGAGCAAGAACCATTCCTCAAATTGCAGTGCAGATCCTTCTGTATTTGGACAGTACAACAGTCAAACGTTGTCCTTCTGTCTCAGTATTTTTCCTAAATGGTATTATCAGAGAAAAAAAATGGTTAATACAAAAGAATGTTACTATTCCTGACAATCCAAGAAAAAAATATTAATTTTTATATTACATGCATGGACTGAAGTCCAAGCCAATATCTTTCCTCTGTAAGAGCAGCAGCAGATCGACTCAGTGATGGCATTCCCAATTGATTGAAAACTTTGTTCGCGATTTCTAAGCACAAATCTTCAATTATTATAATAATTGAAGATTTGATAATTATAATTGATTGATAATTATCAATGCTTCATTGCAGATTTCTGCTGTGAAATCCACGTTCATATTGGAATTTTCCTTGCGTATTCGACGGAAAATATCTTCAGCCATGTGCAATTTATATTTCTCCCATAACTCTGTTGGAGATGAAGGAGAGCAGGCGGTCAATATGATTGCAAACAATGCACGAATTTGATGTGGATGTGACGTTTTGCATGCGTCAATAATGCATGTAGCATGTTTGGGTATGTCACGCTACAAATAACTTTACGCCATATTAATTATAGTGAATCTTTATTGTAATTCACTTGCACAATTTACAATTATCGCCACTTGCAGTATTAGAGTTATTGGTTACACAATCTCTCGGCCAGTACTTCTGTATCTCTTGGCGTCTAGGTTCCAACCTTCTTCAGCGGCAGCTATTCCAAGACTGACTGGGCGAATGAATTCAACCCCCTTTTATACCCTCGGCCACTGCTATGCAAATGAGCCTCTGTTATAACCGCGGAAACGCTGCTTTGTTGATTCCGCAATTCCTACGCAATGGCCCATTGTTATTGCATTGTCTCTGTGCGAACGCTCCGTGTATTTGTTGTAACCGTAGAGATTCGATACAGTATCGCTATTATTACTTCCTATGCAACGGTCTGTTCTAGCGTTTCCATAGGGGTGACTCTTCTGAATTCCAAATTCCAATTCTGTTTTTCAAAAGAAGCATGTTTTTACCTGTCACAGGTGTGACATCTATATAATAGGTATATAAAACACGTGCGCATTCGAATTCAACGTTGTGTCAAAATTTCAAAGCAATTGGTGAAGAACTTTCAGAGATTTAGGATCCTGAACAAACGAACATTTACATTTTTATTTATATAGATTATATTGCAGAACTTTATCTAGTGTTATTAACTCGCCTAAAAGACTTTCATTATGATAGATTAAATGCTAATTCAGAAAATAAAATGAGAACTACTTGGAATATTGTTAAATCTGTAACAGGTAAAATGTCAGGGAATAAATCGTTTGAGTCAGTTTATATAAATGGTACTTTAACTGATAATCAACAGCTTATAGCTGATTCCTTCCAAAATTACTTTCTATTAACAGCAGACAATATAATTTCCAATTTCAATAACAATGAGGAATTAGAAGATAATAATTGTATTGATTATCTATACAGTTTTCAGTAACCCCTTTCCAAAATATAATATTTTATAATACAACTACCAGGGAAATTAAAAAAATTACTAAATCCCTTAAGTCCAAAAATTCATTTGGACATGATGAAATTTCAGTAAAAATTCTTAAAATAAGTTCTCCATTTATCATTGCTCCTTTGAATTATATTTGTAATAGGTCAATTTTATCTGGTTCATTCCCTACACAATTAAAATATTCTGTGGTTAAGCCATTATTTAAAAAAGGCGACAATAAAGATATGAAAAATTATACGCCTATATCATTACTAACTTCCTTTTCTAAAATTTTTGAAAACATGATATATATAAGACTTTCTAAACATGTAATAAATAATGCTATATTATCTAGTGAACAGTTTGGGTTTAGAAGCAATTCCTCAACAGGAAAGGCAACGTTTAAACTTCTAAATGATATTTTTTTTTCTGTGGCGCTACAGCCCCAATTTGGGCCTAGGCTTACCTCCATGAAACTCTCAGTTTCACTTCGGTTTACTAGATCTTACACATTCGGTAGGACTCCTTGGGCGAGTGATCAGCTCGTCACAAGGCCTCTACATGTAGACAAACACAGAAAAATGCACACAAACATCCATGCCGAGTGGGATTCGAACCCACGATCCCGGCTTCCAAGCGAGCAAAGACAGTGCATGCCTTAGACTGCTCGGCTACCGTGACCGGCTAAATGATATTTTACAGACCTTAAATAATAAGGAACTTGTGGGAGGTATTTTTTGTGACCTCAAGAAAGCCTTTGATTGTGTTAACCACGACTTATTAATGGAGAAACTGAAATTCTATGGAATTGTAGACAATACATATGCTCTAATCAAATCATATCTCAGTGATAGGTATCAACAAGTCCTCATCATCATCATCATCATCATCATCATCAGTAATCTGTCAAGACGACAGGTCCACAGTCTCTTTCAAAACAATTCCTCCACTTAATGCGATCTAGAGCTTTCTCCTTCAAATGACAGTATCCTCTTCTGTCCCCAAGGTCATCCAGCATCTTCTTACGTCTTCTTCCTCGTCTTCTTGTCACTTCTATCCGCCCATCTATCTTTCCTTCGATAGCTTCTTTTAGAAGGCAGTTTCTGCGTAAAACATGACCAATCCAATTAGCCTTCCGTTTTCTTATTTCATGTAGGATATTCCTCTGCTCACTGACTCTAATTAACACTTCTTCATTTCTCACATAATCGGTCCAACTGATCTTCTCCATCCTTCTCCAACACCACATTTCGAAACTTTCCAGATGTTTCTCATCTACTGCCCTAAGTAACAACAAGTCCTCATTGATGATAAATTAACTCATTCTTATACTTCTTCAGAATGGGGGAAGATTAAAAACATGGAGTGCCCCAGGGATCTATACTTGGACCAATGCTTTTTCTTTTGTACATAAATTACCTACCTAAAGTAGTTAATTATAATTCTAAGCCAGTCATGTTTGCTGATGATACCAGTATTACTGTTAGTAATCCTAATTTAGCAATTTTTTAAGGAGGATATTATTTCCTCTTTCAGACAGCTGAATGAATGGTTTAATATCAATTTGTTGTCATTAAATTATAACAAAACTCAATATATACAATTTAGAACCACTAATAGCCAAACAATTCAATTAGATATCAGTTATAACAATAAATATATTATTAACAATACAAACACTCGGTTTTTAGGTATTACTGTTGATAGCTCCTTGTCATGGAAGCATCATATTGATGGACTTGTGGTTAAATTAAGCAAAGCATGTTATGCTATTCATAACATGTGTATTTTAGTTACTTGTCTGTGACTGGTTCTACATCCGTCAGGCGTATTTGTAGCCTAGATTGGATTGATGGAATTTTACAATAAACTAAACTAAACTAAAGACACTAAAAATTTGTGCAGAACAAATTTATGAACATATTTCTGAAGAAATATATAAAACATGACTGTTGCACTTTATCCTTACCTGTATAGGGAATATCTTGACTGCAACAGTATCAGTCTTGTACTGAGCCTTCCATACAGCACCAAAACGTCCCCTGGCTTTAATCTCCAGAAGTTGAATGGGGCGCAGACCCATAAGAGGTGAGGGTGGTGGTAAGGGATGGGGTTCAATCGTAGGAAGCTGAAGATGAACAGAAATTGTAAATAAATGTATCCAGTATACACAACTTCCATTCAAGAAGTTTGCGGGTATGAAGCAGCCATATGGTACCACCACTTTGTACAGTAGTAGCCCTATAATAATTTTGTACATTTCAGTTAAGAAATAAAGGAAAGTAAATATATCTATGAAATATAGGCCATTCATCATTGCACAAACAAGGTCTCCCTCCCAGATAAAGGCACCTGCATTTATTACTTTTGATGTCTTCATGACAATAAAGACTTATACTGTGGCCTCAGGAATTGACAAAATCTGTTCTGAGAGGCAGTTACTAATATTTCAGAAGAATATGCTGCCACCATAGGCTGGGTAAATCTACCTCAAAGGAGGTACAGCATATCGCTTAAAAAATGTTATCCATCTACCAGCCTACATGATGTCTACTCCAGATGATATTCTGTGCTTATGAAGTCTAAAAGTTTGAAGTAATGGCATGTTATTTAAATGACACATAGAATGGACATAGCCGGGATAGCAGTCAGTATAGTGACTGGCTATGGGCTGGACAACCGAGGGGTCGGAGTTTGAGTCTTAGTAGGGTGAAGAATTTTCTCTTCTTATTGTCCAGGCCGGCTCTGGTGCCCAACCAGCCTCCTATTCTATGTGAACCAAGGGACCTTTCCCTAGGGGGAAAGCAGTAGGCACATGAAGCCGACCACTCAACTCCAGCTAGTACTGAGGTCAAGCAAATACCTCTGCTCCCCCAAATGCCTTCATGGTGTAGTGCTTAATTAGTAATTAATAATAGTGTTTAATTATAATGATAATAATAATAAAGCATTATTAACATTACATACTTGTGTTGATAGTATTACAAAAATTATATGTATAAAACAACAGAAAACTAAAACCGATGATTACAGTAAAAAGAATCCAGTCCATTGAGCCCATCAGGTGGAATAAGTCTCTACTGTCCAACGACAGTGACTAACTCCTTCTAATGGGCTCTACTGAGCAGTCTATTACTTTGACATGATGACAAAGACAGGCTCAGTCTCTGAAATATTGTGCTTCTACAGCCAAAATAGGAGGCTGCACAATGTCCACTGACAGTCTATTTTTTGTATACATGATATTTACAATCACGAGCTGACTTATGGGACACAATTCTATATAAGAAAAATATAAAGGAATGACATCTTCTTCTTGAATTCTCCTGTCATGGACACTACACAACAGTTATGGCTTTCACAATGACATTTCAGATTGATTGGGCTTTCACAATTAACTTCCCCACAGATGAACAGACTCTGATTATCCATCAGAACAATATTTAAATTGCTACTGAACTAACAAAGCATTAATTCTAAAATCTGCTATACCATGACTGAGACCACCTGAATGCATCAACAGAAGTCAGCCATACTGGAAAACAACACTACCCTGGATCACTGGATACTGCCTTTGGGATGTGAAACCATGTAGTCTCTTAGAAATTTACTGGCACTTCAGAAGAATGTACAGACTCCATTTTCAGTGTTCAAGTGTAAGCTGAACAAGATGCAGGCAAAATAAACTTTGCTTGCTGCTTGCTTGGCTTATTTTCAACCCTGAGGATGGAGGCAGTACCTTAATGTCTGTAAATGTCCACCAGACTACATAATATCACATCCAAGAAGACTACACTTTATAGCCACCATCCTAATATCAGATCTCAGAGTGATATCTTTCTGTTTACAATGTGATTTTGTGTTAAAGCAAAAAGTCTGTTTGTAGTTCATTTTTAAAACATTATATTTCAGCATCCTGTTGCACTGAGGTATAATTTATAGTCCTGTTTTCTATCTATATGCAACAATATTAATTTAACAACATTAATTCATATTAAACTCCTAAATGTTCATTAAATGTTTAAAATGTCATTAAGATTATTAAAATATATGCATATCTGGTGTTTATGCTACATGTTTCAGCTGCATAGGGCCATCTTCAGGTAATGCATCTTTTAAAGGAGCCTACTGCACTGTGTACTTGGTCAAATAGTATTCATTAAGGCACAACATTGTTATTAACCTCTTTCAATTCTGATGTTGTAGGATGATTTTATAGCATTATTTTCTTCTTATCTTATACAGGGTGTCCCAGGAGGAATGTGCCAAACTTCGGGAGGGTGTTCCTTATGTTATAGTATGCCGATATAACCCAAAACACCTATGTCCAAAGTTGAACGGTTACGGAGATAATGGCCCAAGAAAAGTGTGGTCTTTT